AAATTTTAACACTTGAAAGGATATTCCCAGTACTACCAGAATTCACCCACTGGCCTTGCTAGTGCTATTCTAAGGCAAACACTTTGTTTCTGCTGCCTCATTTTGCAAACCTGATAAGTTTATGGACTCTTAAAATGTTAAATAGGATTAATTGCCATGGTATTCTCTGGATGTTCTCACTTTGTTACTTTAATATCCATACAACTTCTTATTTATTTATATTTAGTGAGTTCCACCAAAGGAGCCTTTTATCTATGAGACAAAAGCATTCTTTCTAAGTTTATAGTAAATACTATGTTTTAGACTCCAGCCCTCTGCAAAAATCTTTACAATTTTAGCATGTTTTATTATTTTAAAATAAAGATTTGTCATCCATTATCTAGGCAACTGCTCTGATCATTTTAAAGGAAAATTGGCATGTACAAAGTTTCCAAAAGTGTCCTTCCTGGGCCCATCCTGTTAGCTTAAAAATAGTGCCTTATTTATTCTGGCTTTTTATTTAATTTCATAAATGTATTCACATATGGTAGTCATTGAGCAAATGGCTTTTTAAGTCAAATATATATAACATAATAATCTGAATCGTGTGAACAAGTAGTTCTTTTTATTATTTTAATAAAGAGTTGGCATGTGTGCACATTAGGAAAATATTTCATTCTAATATGCATTCCTAATGTGCAGCAGCATATGAAGATGACAGAATCTAAGTGAAGAAAAAGTAAATCAATATACTCAATACAGCTGATTATTTAAACTCAGAATCACCAGGGAATGACTCTACTTATTTAAATGCTAAGGTTGATTATTTTTATCAACTGTGAAGTATTCTAAGGGGTAGATTATCCAGATGTTAGAATCAATTCTCTCCAAGAACACAAGTTCACTGCTAACAAACAAACTCAGAGCTGCCATTCTGCCAAGAGAAGCCATCTTTGCATTCCCTTGGAGCAAATAAATACAAAGACTGTGCCCAAGGCAATAGTTGATCATTCTCCTCTGAGGGCAATGTGAACAAATCACTTTGTGCTTCATATCCTGATGTACTTCTGTGACCCTGTGAAACCCAAGTCTTTCTATCTTCCATTCTGACCCCATCTATATCCCTGTCCAACTCAAATTGATCACATTTCAAATTCTGGCCATTATTAAGAAACCAACTGGGGGTGGGTGGGGGGTAGGGGTAAGTTACCTCTCCGATACATTTTTTTAAAATGTATTGTATGGCCCTCCCTGGTGGCGCAGTGGGTTAAAGCACTGCACTGAGAATCTAAAGCCGCTTCTGCATGAGTTCGATTCCCGCCTGCCCCGGAGGTGACCACATGGCGTGGCAGACCTCTCCTGACCCGCCCGCTGCTCCCTTCAGCAGTATACTTGGTCTATCTGCCTGTTCTGTTCCCACTCTGTCTCTGGTGAAGCCTCTCAACGCCCCTGAGCCTCTGGCCTGTACCCTGGTTCTGTATGCACAAATAAATAAATCTTAAAAAAAAAAAAGTATTGTATGCATACAAGAACTGTGTTGTATGCATACAAGAACTGTGTTGTAGGCCAATGGTGTGTGTGTGGGGGGGAGGGGTGGGTGGTGAGAAGATTCAGCAGAAATGGAGTGGGAAGCAGAAGAGGCAGATGTACTGAACTACACTTCTGAGGGGAGGGAGCAGTGGGTCAGGCAGGAGAGGTCTGCGGCACCCTGGCCTGGCCTGGGATCAAACTCATGTTGCAGTGGCTGGTGACAGTTTGACAGTGTTGTGTCTTTAACCCCTGTACCACCAGGGAGGCCACTTTCAGATTCACTTTATCTCAGAACAAGGAGAAGATGAAAATTCAGTGGTCCCTATGGATACTTCTGGATTAGTTCCTCTTCCCTAGTCAATCTACACTAGCAAAATAAACAGGAGTAGATATACATAGAGAGGTGATAAATAGATAGACAGACAGACAGACAGATAGAACCTACTCCTTTGAATCTCAGAATATTCAGCTACATGATCCTGTCCCCACAATTCTTGAAAAGATAAAGCTCCTGCTGCACAGCATATGGTCAGCTTTTCAATATCCCCAGTGACTTCCACATCCATGTGAATAAACCACCTGCAAGAGTGGCTGAAAGTGATGGAAACACTGATCAATTATTTGTTCATTAACTGATGCATGCACGCCCTTCTTTATTTCCATTATCATCCAGGACATTCACAGGAAAGTTAAATTTAAAAATATATTTATGGCTAATAATTGCAATTTACTTTCTATATACTAGTCATGTATCTAAGAAGCTTGTGTACTTGGCACAACTGTCATAGGCACAGAAAGGGAATTTGTCACATAGGGTTCGAGTAATTTACCAAGTGCTACATGGGTAATAAGAACTAGAGGGGTGAACTGGACCCAGGTTCTGTAATTAAAGTTCTTAACTACTATTCTATGAAAACAAAGGTGACTTTGGAAAAACATCATAGCAGTTATCAATTAAGATTCATTCATTTGTTTGCCTCATGAAACATCCCCTTGATTTTGAAATTTTGAAATACATATCCCATCAAATAATTGCTAATTTCACTTCTTAGTTTTGAAACTAGTCAGTTAATTTAACAATTCTATACACTCCTATACCCTCAACGGAAAATGAAAAGTCATCTCACATTCCAACATTTTATCAATTTCAAAAAACAAGATTCTTTTTTACTATGTTATCATATATTTACATAAGGTTGTTTTACAAAACTCAATATAACTTAGAGGTGCATGCCTTTTCATACATATGTGTCACATTACAGCCACCACCAAAGCTCCCATAATCCTCTACCATATTTCCAGTACACAAAAATCAGCCACAGGGGGAATGGTGAATGTGCAGTTATAAATGTTCATATAAACCTAGCGTGATAAAGCCATGGGCCAAATGAGATCCATTTCTGTAACTACTCAGTTCATTTTAGCAAATATTTTCTTGCATAATGAGGTGTTAGTGATGGTTCTGAAGTTCCTACCCCCTTTATCTACTGCTGTTACTATTTTCATTCAACTGGACAGGCTTCTACCTTCTAAATTCTGTAAGAAAATCTACAGAATATACACGCATGTGGAGTAGGAATCAAATGTTGGCAGCCAGGTTTCATGCTGCATTTTTATAAAACCTCAAAGTAAAATTATATTATTTAATTTTAACTGGTCACTGCCATTATTTTTTAGACTTACATACTATACTTCTGACAACAGTAGATCATAAATTCTTTACAGATACCATGTAAGATTATTTTCCTTTTTATTAGAAGTTAAATTCTTTTCAACTTAAAATTCAATTGATAGTTTTTCAAGTTTATGAATAAAGTGGTATGCATTATTGGCTATAGTACTTAACAAAGAAGTTCTTAAGAAGTACCTATAATCTATGAAACATACAACTCGAAGATCAATATTTGTGCTCTAATTACAAAGTAATTAGATATATTTCAGGGCGACTTCCATTATCTGATGTTTTAATAGTTGATCACTGACGACTGGGACTCTGACTTTTTACTAGATATTACTGTGGGAGGGGATGGCTTACATGCTACTGGATGCTGAAGGAAGTTTGTACCAAACTAATGACTATAGGTATACAGATATGTTAGTGAATTGAAAAAAATTAAAATAATGAGTAAATAGTATAAAAACAATATATTCTAAATGTTAGCTACCAATAAATTAAATTACATGCTTAGCAATAAATTCATTTTTGCTTAACTACTTTTTCTTTGTTTCTTAAAGTAAAATGTCAAATTGCACAGTTTAATTCTTGAAAAATAAATTACTAAGTATACAGTAAATTGATATAATTAAAAGATATTCTATTTTTACCCCAAACTTCCAGAGTTTAATTCCTTAAATTCCAATGTCTGGAACTCAGTAAATACTCAAATAATGTAGGACGACTAAAGAAGATAATAAACAGGATATATATTTTTTAATTAAATGAAATGATAAGAACTAGAGCTAATTTGCACAGTTCACTTTGATATTAGGTCTTTAAAGTAAGTTACACTATTGCAAATCTCAGAAATACTCACATAATCAAATGAATATACTACAATGTCAGATCGTTTTAATAAGCCCTGAAATTAACCAGAAAATATGAATGACATGATGTCAAGGAAGCTGCCCATTTCATTTCTTTTTAGAAAACTATATTAAATGTTCTGCACAGTATCAAAACCCACCTCAATATATACAATAAGGATTATCAAGAAGTCAGTAAAATTTCTAGTGCTGTTACCATTTCTTTAATCACCCTTGATTGACTTTTTTCCTTTACTCCTTAAAAATTACATATCTTTTTGGAGAATTTTTATAGTCTTCTTTCACATTTCCACCACCTCTCATAACTAATTTGGGTTCTTAAATATAGGTATGTTTCTTTAAACTAGACTGTCTCAGTGACTCTCAAATTTTTTTCTTCAAAATAATTCTAATGTTTATTATAAAATTGTCTTTAGCACCAAGAAATTTTACTACTAATATTTAATGACAATTTTTAAAGACATGACATTTAATAATATGATTATTTAAAAAGTATGGAAATAGGTTAGTAATTCATTACCAAATTAAATCATTTTTTAATATTGGAGATAGTTGTGCCAACTGTTAATCCATGTCCTTGAATACTGGAGAAATATGCTTTTATTGACTGATAGTTAATTAAACATTACATAAGGTCCAGAATATATCTGGAGAAATCATATAAATTTTCTAGGATAGAGAATTGGTAATATTTTTTTTGGATATTCAAGTTATAAAAAGCTGTCTAAAGTATGTGGATCTTTTGACATGTAAATGATAGTTTAAATTATTTTATAAAAGTTAATTGAAATTAAAACTACTAAAAGAATAGTCAAATTTGACTTATAAATAATGTATATGCCTACAATACTAAATATGTATGTATATATTACATATTTATTCAAACAGAAAAATATTTTGGATATATTACATTTAAATAAATTTGTGAATGTAAGCATTAGTCATACCTGAGTTAGTTCATTAATATCTATAAGTCCATTATTGTCAGCATCAAAATATTTAAACATTTGATCCACCAACAACTTCTTCCGAGATAAGTCATCACCGTTAGGATTTTCATTTTCTTGTGTAATATATTTTTGATTTTGTAAATCTAAAAGCATGTTTTTCATCTTGCTGTATTCAGTGGCCTCGCAGTTATCTCCTGTAACAAAAGAACTAAGTTATTTTCAAAGCAATATTATTGAAAAGGAACCATTTAGTTTATTTTATAAGTGCATATAAGTCTTTACCTTACAGATAACATATATTATACCTAGTTTTTATGTTTCTATTTTGCATATTTTACAACTAGTTTACAGAAAAATTAATTGTGTCATTTTCATAGTGGAATAGAAAATTTTTGTTTGCATCATATCTAATAACATATCTACTACTTGTTTTTTTTGTTTTTTTTTTTTTTCCTCTGCAAACAACATTGATTCTTTGAGGGACATAGAAAGATAAGAGAATTCCAAATAGCTGACACACTTGCACACATTACTTTAGATTTAATCCTACCACACATTATACAGATAGTTTCACAGATTTTGAAAATGAGATGCAGCAGCATAAAATGACTTTTTCCAAAGCAAAGGCTATACTCTGCTGAGCTTTGCAATTAAACACATATATATCTGGCTTCCAAATAATGTAGCACCCATGGAATATATGGGTGCTTTGATTGTAGGCATGGTGTGGTGATACACACTTGAGGTGTAGACTACTAATATCAAATGCACGGGTGAGTTGGTGGTATAAAGCCCACAGGAATTGTAACTGAGATTAAAAAATGCACAAAATGAAGAATGAGCTATAAAATAAACAAAAATAAATTTAAAATATATATTACAAAAATGCATTGTGTAACATAATGTGCAAATGAGAAGTTTGCATTAAGTATGGTAAATTTTTTGAAGACATTAGAAATAAAACTAATTTTACAATGTGGTGAATTTTGAAATCAGCTTTGACAAAATATCTATGATTTTAAGGGAAGATTTCTAAAGATCTGAAAATATATATCTGAGAAAACAGCAATGCTTGATGACAATTCTCTTTTAAGACAAGATGGACAACAATCTCTTGTGGAAAGAGGAGAGCCCAGCTTATTTTTCAAAGACAGTGAAAAGGCTCCCGTTGTTCAGCCATTTTAGTGTTAGTAATCCTGCCAAGATTTCTTTTTTACAATAACATGTAAACTTTGCGCTGAGATTAAGTCAATTTGGCATTATTCTGATCTCAGTAAAGAATAATAATAAGAATATGCTATCATAATAGCAAAGAGAAGTAGTAATAGCAAAGAGAGAAGTAATCAAAGCCAGAGGGATAGGCAGCAATTTTGATGTCTGTGAAAGTGACACAAAAGGAGCCTTCAGATATGTGTGTGTTGGGGGGGGAGGGGTTTCGGGGGTGTATGAGTAAGACAGATAAATGTGTGATGCAAGAACGGGGGAAATGAATGTGACTGTTCCACTAGCCCTGCCTGAGATCTCTGCATTTGACGTTGGATCTGTGTCCCTTTAAAATGAGTTCACTGCTGGGGAAGCAGTGGAGTTTAGGAGAGCTGACCTGCCAGGGGAGCAAGGAGAACCTCAGAATGGCATTAACATAGCAATTAGGATAAAAGTGCTGAAAAGTGTTGAACTAATATTGGACATTTGAGGGAACAGGATGTGATCTGGGTTGTTATGCCATGAGACCTAATGAAATGTGATTTGCACAGTTCTCTTTATTAATGCTTTCATTACTAAAATTATAAATTATTCAAAGGTATTGGGGTGGATGCCAGCAATCCAAAGGGAAAAACATAAAAGTTCTGCAGGTAAGGTATTCATACTGCCTTGGAACGCACCGTAAAAAGTTATAAAAGTATCTGGGGCCCTCCCTGAGGGCGCAGTGGGTTGGAGCACTGCACTGGGAAGCTAAGCCAAGCTGTGGCCACTTGAGTACAAGTTTGGTCCCTGCCCAGGGGGTGACCCACATGCCTCAGCAGACCTCTCCTGACCTGCCCGCTGCTCTCCTCAGCAGTGTACTTGGTCGATCTGCCTGTTCTGCTCCCCACTCTGTCTCTGGTGAATCCTCTCACTGCCACTGCACCTCTGGCTATACCCCATTTCTGTATGAATGAATAAATAAATCTTTTTTTATGTATCTAAACTTTAAGTATTTATACATTTAATGAAATCTGTCAGGCTTTCTCAGTGTAGTAAATAGGTAGTTCTGTTGTTAATGATAGATTACATGTAATGTGGGCCTAATAGGCCAGTAACTTGATTCATATCAAGTTACTTCACCATCCAATCAATCCAAAAAGAAGTACAATATGATTATCACCATTTTATAAATGATGAACGGAGGCACACACAGATTGCCTAACTTGTTTGAAGCCATAAAACTAGAAAGTAGCATGCCTTTTAAATATAGATAATATATATTTTGCCCTTTATTCTCTTCTCTCATCTACAGAACTGAGTTTGAAATATCTGAATGTATAGATTTAGTGAATTTTCCCAAGTGCAAGATAAATAGAACAAGCTTGAGGTGACATCACTGTGATAACAGCATACTGTGACCTTGAACTAAAATATTTAGGAAATAGAAATTGTAGATGACAAACTACATGTTGAATACATAGGAAGCTGTGAAAAAAAATAACACTGGGGATTTTCTACATTAGGTGTATGTTGACTGCCATCAGCAAAAGCTGATTCATGAGACATAAGCAAATGGATAGAGAGGAGATGATTAAACAATGGTTAAATAAGTTTGAGGCACTTGTGAGATATTTTGATTGATGTTTCAATGAGGGCAAATGAAACTTAGTTCTATAATTCAGATATTCTATAGCTCAGAAGAAAGGAAGGCTGTGATGGATTGGATTTGTGAGTTACTGATGAATGTATGACAGTTGAATCTATGATTGATGAATGAAGATATTTATAAAGTGAACAGAAGAAGACCCTGGTGGAACAGGAGCATGAACATTGTTAAAGTCTCTTCGATACAGATTAGTTAAAAAGAAAATGCTAAAGCATTGCTTAGTTGGAAGAAATGAAGATGGCTTGATCACACACCTGCATGTCCTTTAGTTTATTTCTTGAAAAGGGAAAAAAAAAGCACTGAATAATGACTGTAAATGAAGTGGAAAATGAGGGAAAAGAGATGTTGCCTTCCTCTGAAAAACAAAAAAATCTTGTGAACTACAACCAACCTTTTGATATTCACCATATACAAGGATGTGCCAGATGTGCTGTGCACACACAAAATACGATCTGTAGTTATATTAATGTGAGTTTCAACTGCATGTAGATATATTTCTTTTCTGTTCCTTTAACGTATGTTCAGAAAAAGCTTATGTACTTGCATTACCAACAATAAGTTCAAGATAACTTTCTACAGTGAGAACTTGCTTCCCTGTTAACTCGACTTTTCTCAATTAAAGCTGCTACAACTTAAAGCATGTGAGTTTTGAATGTGTTTACATAAGAAAAAAAGTTCATTAAAATGTGTGAAATTTCTAAAGTCAATAGGAAGTTGTAAAAATCCTAATTTTCACCTTAAGAATAAATAGCAGAACATAATTGCTTAAGTAGTTGTTCTTTTCATGTATATTTTCAAATGAAAATGAATTAGAAATCCCTTGTTTAAAGTCATTTATTTTCACAAGCGAATTGCAGAATTACTTAATAAATATCTTTTAAATAATGTCTGACTTTCACTTACTGAGTAATGTAGAAAGTCAAGATTTGTTTCTTTACAAACATTTAGAAACACTGGAAAGAAAAAAAAAAAAAACACCCTTCTTTGGAGATAACATATACTGATAGGTATATGCCTGTACTTTTAGGTATTTGTATATGTACTAATGCACAATATATTATGATTTAGCACTATTTTGTTTTCAATTAAATGCAATTCTTCTTGGCACAACAATTAAAAAATAACAGTACATTATATCATTTATGTTTAAAGATAATAACTGTGCAATTTAAAATTGTTGAGAACACATTCTGTTTTCTAGTATAGCTCAGTAAATATGTTTGGAACAATCAAATGATTAGATGACTTCAACTCCTTTGTGAGTGATAAGACTAGCTCTTCAGCATATTTAAGGTATTTTACTACTCTTTAAATTACACTAAACAGATAGTAATGAAAAATAATTCTTATCCATGGACTTGCAAATTAATTAGGACTGAAAGTTTCAACTGATTTCGCCCCACCATTTTGTGGAAAATATCAAGTTTATGACTATGTTATTTCCACAGTTCTTTGTTTCATTGAAATAGGTGACTCTGATTTCTTTGAACTGAATGTAATGTACCTTATTTCTTAAAAAATGGTGAATTAAATATTTCTATTTTTTTTTTTGGATGGTCAACTTGTATTCAGTATATATTTGGACTGGATATACCATTCTCTCATTTAAAATGTTTTCTTAACACTCAAAATACATGATTCTTTCTTTTTCTATGACTTAAAAAAGGCTCTATTGAGTCAAAGTGGTTATGATTGCTTCAGACATCTGATTATCTATAACACATAATAGATATACTTAAATGAATGTGAATTTAAATCTGAAGGAGAATTGGAATATAATTTAGCAAGATGAATAAAAAATACAGATTATAACACAAACAAAAAAAACCCGTGCACACAGCAAACATAAAGAACACTTCTCTGTTTTAATTTTTCCACTGAGATTACTACACAAAAAAATGTTTTAAAAAGATAGAATTACTTTTACTCATATATGTAACATAAGGAAACAAATAAATGAAATCACAAACCCAAAAACAAATTTTCGACTCTGAAATCAAAATGGTGTTTACCAGAAAAGGATTTTAGAAAGAATAAATACATAGGGTCGATATGCTAGTAGAAAGTGGTACTAGATGGCCCTCCCTAGTGGTGCAGCGGGTTAAAGCACTGCACTGAGAAGCTAAAGCCGCTTCCGCATGAGTTCGATTCCCGCCTGCCCCGGAGGTGACCACATGGCGCAGCAGACCTCTCCTGACCCGCCCACTGCTCCCCTCAGCAGTGTACTTCATCCATCTGCCTGTTCTGTTCCCGGCTCTGTCTCTGGTGAAGCCTCTCGCCGCCCCTGAGCCTCTGGCCTGTATCCCAGTTCTGTATGCACAAATAAATAAATCTTAAAAAAAA